TCTTTCTTTTAATAATTTCATCTTTTGTTGAACATTGGTATCTTTTACTTTCTCAAATGTCTTTATCCTTAGCTTTTCTTTCGCTTTGGAATCATCCAAGTCAGGAACCAAAATTGGCTCGAGTGGTTTTTCCATCATAATAGGATTAACAAAATTTTGAAACTGTCATAGAGCAAATATGTAAGTCATTCCTGGATAAAGATTAGAATATTCTTTGGGAATAAGAATCTGCACTTTGGTTCCTTAGGAATATTGGGTTAGTCGTGGCTCAAACCTTGAAAGGTAAATAGGTTTCACTATGTCAGGCAATTATTCTTGGAATCTGGGATTTCCTTTCACTACTTTTCCTTTATCAAGATTCTTGAACATATCCATTATCTTATCAATATCCCCTTTTAGTTCTTCTTGAGTCTTTTTCATCCTCTCAAATCAACTAGCATGTTTTTATTCTATGATTCTTGTTTGAGCTTTGGTGTTGTATGAATGACGAGTAAGTTGAGTCAAAATTTTTGATGGGTGATCTATTTTTGAACTTTTATTATCACAAAATTTTTTTAAAAATCAAAATGCCATGTGTTAAAAATTTTATTTTCTATTTTTTTATGATTTTTTAGAAAAAAATAACAAAAATAGTGTACATGATGCATGAATGCAAGTGTGAGATATTTACTATTGGACAAATTTCAACACTAGAAATTTTCATTGATTCATACAACTTTTGTTACATGAAATTTATCATCCTAAAAGAAGATAAGTAATTCTGTAGTTTTATGAGATCCATGAAGAATTTTTCAAGAGAAAGATGTCTTAGACCAAATACCTTAATGCAAAACTGTATGATATGATTTATGTAAAAGAAAAAAGAAATGAAAATAAAATTGAGTTAGTGTGAATACGTGTTTTGAAATTGAAAAAAAAACTTCTTTTTGAGATTTTTCATTTTTTGTTTTATTGTTTTGTTTTGCTTTATTTTGTATTCTTACACATTTTGGACTTAGATACTTTCTACAAATGGGTTGGTGAAGCTCTACCTAAGGTTGGCTTCCTATAGCTTATTACATGCTTGGTTTGGATTAACACATGTCCAAAGGTTCTCAAATTGTTCTTTACTGTCATCCATGTCGGGCTAGTTAGGCATCCCGATCTTCACCCATTATAGGCTACGTATGGATAGATTCAATTTGAGTGAAAGTATTTCACTTGCTATTACAGAGGTTATCACCTCACGAGGGAATAGGTACTTTACTTCTTCTTATAAGGGATAGAGCCCGGGTATAGAGTTTATGCATAAAGTGTAACGTGTCATCATGTGTGTATATATTTTCTAATTTATTGAGAATAATACATACAAAAAAAAGAACAATAAAAAAAACATGTGTGAAATTTTTTGTTCTTTTTGTTTTTAATTTTTTTTAGTTGTTTTTGGATTTTTTTAAAGAAATAAAATTAGAATCTAGGAAATTAAAATTAAAATCGATTAAGACTATTTAAGTCAATGTTTAAGGATAACATGTAGTTAATTTTGGTCAAACTCTCAAAAACAAATGGCTTCCCCAATGGAATTGTTAAGCTATCGTAATAGTTTTGGGGTTACCCAATGAATTTAGAAACGAAAAGAAAAAATGGAGTCGTCACCAATCTTTTTTAGGCTAGGTGCGATTGGCCACCTATTAAAATTTATCATTTTAATAAACTCTCAAAATTAATTAAAATTTATTAAAAAGATAATTTCAGGATCTGCAAAACAGTTTGGGTTCGGGAGTTAATTACGTGCGATGAAGGGTTAGCATTCTTACAGCATCCATTTAAAATGGTACCAATTAATTACATATTATCCATTAATCCTGACAAAAATAATCTTAATTCGGTGTTTAAAAACTAATTTCCTTGATTTTTTTTATTGCGATTTTGGTTTTTCCTTTATTTTATTTCATATTTATTGTTCAGATTTTATTCAAAAAAAATAAATTAAAACCCATTTATTGAAATAATTCTTAAAATACTTCAGTTTAATAACATTAGAAGAATTCTTTCTTACATAAAGATTTCTTAGGCATCGTTTCTCAAAATATCTTAGAATCTCATTCTCAGAGGCTCGAATTTACTTTTCGTAAAAACTATGTTATACATGAATGATAACATATTGATGCACATTTTTTTATTCATTCTTTAGAAATTTTATTGACTTTATTTTTTTATTTAAAATTTTTGAAGAAAATAGGAATTTTATTGTATTGAAGATTTTTTATAAATATTCCAATACACTGATAATATTTTTTAAAAAATATTTTCATCTAGAAATTTTTTAAAACATATATACTCGAAATACTTTTAAAATCTTGTCATCAGATAAAATTTCTTTTGTCCTCATTTTTGTCACTTTATTTTTAATTTATTAATTAATTTTTATTTACTATTTTATAATTAAAAAAATTTTTATTATATTGAAAACTTTTATAAATACTCCAATACATAGGTAGTATTTAAAAATTTCTTCTCTATTAGAGATTTCGTAGGTATCACTACTCAGAGTACCTTTGAATCTCATCGTTAGATAAAATTTTCATTTTCTTACATATTTTATTATTTTATAAGATTTATTTTAAAATTAATAAAATTATAAAAAATTTTAACTATATACTTCATCATTTATTTTTATTATTTCAACAAAAATTTATTTTTAAAAATATAAACATTTTAATATGCATAAATATTAATAAAATAATATAAAAAAAGTATTCAAAAAATTCAAAAAAAAATTACTTGAACCGAACCTGTCAATAGTCCGATCAACATCAATCTAGCTAGATTGGCAGTTCGATGTCAGTTTGGACTGGTTCAGCTAGACTGGTCAGAGGTCAAAGGGAGAAACAGGTCATCGGGTCATATTTTGAGTTGACGCGCAGATCTTGGGGCTTAAAACGATGTCGTTTTGGTCATTTAATGAAACGGTGTCGTTCTAGCTTTCAGACTTCTACAAAAGGCTAATTTTTTTTATTTCATATCTTTTGGTTCTTTCTCTCTCTACTCTCTCCCTCATTTTCTCAAACTCTCTCTCTACCTGAATCGACAATCATCGATCACTGTGTTGACCACAGTTGGTGGTTGCTGGTCACTGTGTCAACCATCATTAATGGTCACCGACCATCGTGCCAACCATTGAAAAATCTTAAAAAATTCCCTTCAAGCCCCTAAATACAAATTTGGGCCTAGTTGTGCCCGAATATTGCCGAAACGCCTTGAATTAAATCTTAAGGGTTTGGTCAAACCCCTCTTTTTTTTATTTTGACTTGCTTTTTTTTGTGAGATTGATTTTTCTTTTCTTTTTATTTTGGCAAGAGTCTTTCGATGTTGGGTTCCTCCCCTTTTGGGGAGGATTGTGTTTTTTTTTTTTTTTTTTGTGTTTAATAGGTGCGGGTTAGTAGGCATAGGTTTCTGGACGAGGTAGAATCAAACTTAGCAAGGGCTTGTAGAAAGGTTTGGCTAGGGATTATGGTCATGTACAAAGGCTCGTAGAAGGAGGTAAAGCTCTAGGGTAAGGTAAAGAAGGGTTTGTAATGAGGGCGTGATCTCCCTAGTCTTTCTCTAGGTTATGGGTTTTATAGGACCGGTTGGGGAGCAGGTGGTATAGTGGAATAGTTTTGTAGGGAAGTGGGTGGCCTAAGCTTTTGGTGGACAGGGAGGTGGCAGCCCTTTGTTTTTTACTCTTTTTTATTTTTTATTTTTTGTATTATTATTGTATTTAATAATATTATTATTTTATTAAAAATATCAAAATAGAAATAAAATAAAAATAACAAACCCGAGCCTCGATTTTAGAACTGAGGCCCGACTAAAAGGATTGGATAAATTTTAGTCTACAATAACAAAATAAAAAAAAAAATGAAAGGATAGGAAGGATAGTTGTGCTCCGATGAGGTACACTGGCCCCCGCCAACGTTGCACGCCCATGGCATCCAAACGACTGTCATGGCATGGTTGGAGTCAATAAATGCCTCAATTACACCTTGTCGTGGCATCGTTTGATTCCAAGTTATGCCTAATTAATTTACTTAATTATCACTTGTCTCTTAATTAAACAGTTTAATTAGGCACTGGCTCTTTGCTTCTCTTTTAATTAATTAATTAATTAACTGATTGATTATTATATTTTAAAACGTTTGAAGTCTCCCATCTCATCTCATGTCATGATTTCAAGCAAACACGTACATGCATCTTTTCTTTTAGCTAATTTTGTGATAGAATTATTATTTTGACCTCTTCTCCTAATTTACCCCCCACCCCCACCCCCTCTTTTTTTTTTCTGTTTCTTGAATTAACGTTAATGTCTCGGAGCACCTGTCTTTTTGGGGTGTTTATTTCTAATCTAGTCGAGAAACTGTTTCCATTTCAAATTCTTGGTATGGGACATTATGCTTACAATTTCCCTCAATTAAACTTTGACGAATGACGGTGGAGTTGAAATGGCAAGTGCAATAAAAAAAATCATGTGTTGCAAAAGAGCAATAGACATTAACTTGAAAATTGAAATTTGTTAATAGTATGGTTGCTTTGTTTAATTTTTTAAGATGCAAATAGCAGATCATGATCAGTGCCAAACTCCTAATTAACTAATAAGTTCATAAAATGATAAATGCAAAACCATGCAAATGCAAACGCAAAAGCAATGATAGGGCCCCGGCGTGAGGCCTTTTTCTAAGGAAAGCCAGAATTAGAGGCTTAATTTTCATAATATACTAATAATAAGTACTAATTAATTAATTCAGAAAAAAAAATACTCTTGAAGTCCGGCGCAGCTTGCTTCTGATTTCTCCCAATTAATTAATAACCCGACACAAAACTTCCATTGAAAAGATCTTGTAGTATTATATATACCTCAAACCGTTTCAATTCAACTCCCACAATCACCACTACTCCCTCACTTTTTTTCTCTCTCTCTCTCTCCTCTTTCTGTGTCATTCACATTTTCTATTGGCCATATATAGATTAACAAAGTGTATAGCAAATTCACACGATGAGTACTTATCGACTTCTTTTCCTTGCCCTTCTCTTTCTCTTCGTTAACTCATCATTTGCTGCAGCGGTGGAACTTAATGTGATTAGTTTTGGTGCCAAAGCCGACGGCTCAACTGACTCAACCAAAGCCTTTCTTGCTGCATGGGCTCATGCTTGTGGCTCAACAAAACCTGCAACCATCAACGTACCCAAAGGGACGTTTTTGCTACGTAATGTGGACTTCAGTGGCCAATGCAACAACAACGCTATAACAATACGAATCGATGGAACCCTCGTGGCTCCTGCGGACTATCGGGTTTTTGAAAATGCCAACAACTGGATTTCCTTTCAGAATGTTGATGGAGTTTCCATTTTTGGAGGAATACTTGATGGCAAGGGAACTGGCTTGTGGGCTTGCAAGAATTCTGGCAAGGATTGCCCCAGCGGTGCTACGGTAAGTGGAATCACTCAATTGCCCGTATCCAACTAAATAAGTTTAGGCGTTAATTACTTTACTGTATTCGCCTATGGCTGATTGAAAATTGAAATTCAATTCAATTCAATTTTAGTCCAAGGACTGGGTTTCACAATGACTTTCTATTGTCTATTTTCAAAGTAATAGTAACAATAGTTTAGTGCCCCGTCGTTTTCATACACCGTGCATTTAGTTGCTTCAGACTTGAGAGTGAAAGGGAAAAGGGCTTTAATTTTAATTAGTTTCACTAGGCGTTACTGTTCAGACTTTGAGTTCCTACGCTTTAATTTCACGTTTACCGGGCCAAAATAACAGGAATAATTCTGCTACTGGACATATAGTGGATAGTAAATCCCTTCAGATTCATTTGGTTGGGAAAGGGTGGGGGGGGGGGTTTAATGTTCTACTCCAGGAAAGTGGGATCGATGTTGATGATCGAGTCACTGTCTGATAACTCGTTAATTAATGGAGAGCTCCCAGTTTCCCCCGCCAATGCAATTAATCCTTCTAGTTCACAACAATACAGTTGGTTTTACCAACTTATTTAAAATGGCAGCGTAATTTGCTGTGTGATGAATCTCTAATAATGCCACGATAAGCCAACATCGAAGAAAAGAGTTCCCATGTAATTTGAACATCAAATTATGATCAACCATAATGTGCATATAGCATCAAGAACTGAACATATATCCTTTTAATTTTTTGGTTATTATATTCTATGAGGTATAAATAAATTAGTGGAAAAACATGTTGAAGCTTGATAATTAATTGTATAATTACTTTTGAATGCAGTCACTTAGCTTTAGCAATTCCAAGAATGTTTTCATCATTGGATTAACATCACTAAACAGCCAAATGTTCCACATCGTGATCAATGGCTGTCAAAATGTCAAAATGCAAGAAGTGAAGGTCTCTGCCGCCGGTAACAGCCCCAACACCGACGGTATTCATGTACAACTATCGAGCAGCGTCACGATACTCAACTCCAGGATTCAAACAGGCGATGATTGCGTCTCAATTGGCCCTGGTGCCACTAATCTCTGGATGGAAAACATCGCATGTGGCCCAGGTCATGGTATCAGGTAAAAGCAAATATCATCATCATATATTGTCTGTTCAAGTAAGTATTTAAGAACAGTAATATGTAAACTATAAAAAAGTGTTATATATTCATATTCTGATATTGCGCAGCATTGGGAGTTTGGGGAAGGACCAAAATGAGGCTGGAGTGCTGAATGTGACAGTTAAAACAGCCACATTCTTGGGTACCCAAAATGGTGTGAGGATAAAGTCTTGGGCCAGACCAAGCAATGGTTTTGCCAGGAATATTGTTTTCCAACATGTTGTTATGAAGAATGTGCAAAACCCCATCGTCATTGATCAAAATTACTGCCCTGGCAACAAAAATTGTCCTGGTCAGGTACGTGAACGTTATTTATACTTTGTTAAGAAATAATCAGTAGATGTACTTTGCTTGCTACGGGAGTGATCTTAGTCATATCCAATTCCATCTGCATTAAAGGTGGCTGGCCAATTTGTACAGGTTTCGGGGGTTAAAGTTAGTGATGTGACATACCAGGACATACATGGAACATCGGCGACGGAAGTTGCAGTGAAATTCGATTGCAGTTCAAAATATCCGTGCACTGGAATAAGATTGGAAGATGTGAAGCTTACATACAAGAATGAGGCAGCTGAAGCTTCATGTAACCACGCGGGTGGAACTACTTCTGGTGTTGTTAAGCCCACAAGTTGTTTATAGTTCTTATACTGAAGCCCAGTAGCTATTTGGTATTATATTAAGGGGAAAAAAACCCATTTATTTGTGGGAGGAAGAATGTAGAAGGTTATTTAATTGCCTGAGCCTGTGGCGTTGATGGCCCATTGGGCATGATTGGAGCCTGGCCTTGCAATCAGCATCCTGAGAGTAATGTAGAATAGCAACCCACGTGAGGTTGGTTTCTTTATATTTAAAATTTAAACTTGATTAATCTGAAAAAGTGTTTTTTTTTTTTTTTGTTTATAGACTCCCCTTAATCAGATATATGTAAGTTAATTAATTAGTAATGTTAATACTTATTTATAAATTAGTTTGATCCTTGGTGATGATAATTGAAATATTGATGAGAATGAATCAAGTTAAATTAAAAAATATTGAGGTATACTTCATTTTATTACTCAAACAAAATATTCGGGTTTAATTTGAATTGAGTATAATCTAATTTACAAACCAAAAAAAGACTAAATACTAAGTTTCCTTTTTATTATGACATGAAGACTATTAAAATGTACGCTGCACGTGACATGCTTCCGGCTCTAAAAACATTAAAACCTTGAAATCAGGTAACCAACCAAACTGCCCCCTTCCAATCTCAAGCGACATATATATGACATACATACCACTAGATATACATCCCTCCGATGCAGCACATGTCAGCCATCAAACAAATATACATATATGATACTAATCAAACAAATAGTGGCTGCATGGACCAAACCCCGAGCAATTGGCAAGCGG